CCACTGGCATAGAAGTTGCATGTGATTTTAAATTAAAACCAGCCCCCTAAGTAGTAGATTGCTCCTTATTGTTCCCTCTGAAACATTCTATCTTTTATATCTTACACATTTTGAGATTTTTTTTTTGATGGGACGATCCTATTTAATCTTTTCCTGTCTTGGTCTCACTAGCCCCCCACCCCCAACTGAAGGGGGCCATAAAAGAAACCAAGAGGTGACTCTTGGTATTCCCTTCGCTTTCCCAAGTCTGAGGCTCCCATAACAGCTCAAGTTACCTCAGTCTGTGGGCCCTAACGATGCCATTTCTTAAAAGTTGTGTCACGTGCCACTCCCAGGGCATCTGACCAGGCTTCTGGGTCCAACACTGCTCAGCTCTGGCCTCAGTGATTCAGTTGCCCTCACCACCAGCAGAGGGCTTCCAGGATGGGCCTCGGCCTTCCTGTCTCTGCCCTAGCAGCTGGCATAGGTCTGGAGCAGCGTGGGCCTTCCAGGACCATTTAGGACCATTTGGGTGGGTGAAATATAGTGCCATAGTCTCAAGCCCACTTGAGTTTGTGAATTCCAACAATCTGCCCTCAGCACATAAGATCAGTGTCCTGCGAGCAACCCACTTTATGTGAGCCTTCAGTTCTGATGGGCGATCTGAACTTTAAGGGAATTGTGAGCAATTCAAGGGTAATCTTGTGATTGCACATGATTTTTACCCAGGCGCTGGCTTTGGGACCACCCTCCCTAAGCCCTGACACCACCTCATGCAGGTCTTATGTTAAGCATTCAGACCTGAGCCATGTGTCTCCACTTGCTCCACTAGCATCACAGTGACCTGGGGAGTGTGTGAAAAAGGCCAATGCCTGGTCTTCCCTCGGTCCCCCTGAATCGGAATCTCCGGGTGGGCTTCCATACCCCCATTTTATCCAGTTCTCCAGGTGATTATCTTTCACACTCAAGTTTGAGGATGGCTGTCTTCAAGGACTTGACCATTCTCTTACCTCAGTTGGGGTTGGTGTGTCCCTGGTTACATAATTCTTCAAAGAAGTGTCTGCCATTTTTCCTGAATGGTAAGTTCTGTCTCATCCGAATGGCAATTGTGCTAACTGGATGTGAAAAAGCACAGCCATATTGTCCCCCAAATGTTACTAATGGTCATTGAGCCTGGCTTTCATTTCAGTTGGTAATCTTTACTATTCTTTCCTTTCTCTCAGGTATCTGTACCACGTTTTGACCAAAAACACCACAGTCACAGAACAGAACCGGAACCTGCTAGTGGAGACCATCCGTTCCATCACCGAGATCCTGATTTGGGGAGATCAGAATGACAGCTCTGTGTTTGAGTAAGGGTTTCTAATGTTTTTAAATTTTTTTTCGTCTTCCTTTGAATGTTTCTAAATGCACATCATGAGTCATTCTGATGATGTCAGACTTTGAAGCCAGTTTGGTCTTGCACGGATATCTATTCCTTTATCTTTATAAAATGTCCTGAAACACCACAGCTGCAAATGGGAAGTATGAAAATGAGTCTCTAGAAAATTTGAAAATATGGGTAATTTTTCCAGTAGTGTCTGATTATCACCCCCAAGGAAGGAGACAATGTCCTGGGTAGTTAGACTCTAAATGAACTGGGGTAGACACTAAGGGCAAACATTTATTATGTTTACTGATGGGCCAGGCACAGTGCTGAGCTCTTGATGAGTTAATCCCCCTACGTCTCCCAGTGACTCCAGGGTAATGGCCTTGTCCTATTTATGTGTATGGTCACCAGCTGGTAAGCATTGAAGCAGTGCCTCGTACCAGAGCCCATGGTGCTCTCATACTTTCTAGATGAGCAACTTTAGGCCAGCCTCAGTTTCCTCATCTTTAAAGGAGAGAGAGTTCCCTGTCTAGTGCCTGGTATAGTCTAGGCAGTAAGAAATGTTAGCAGTTCGTAATAAAATAAAATAAAGGTGTCCCTATTAGATGGTTAAAAAGCAAACACTCATTTATAGAATATAATGAACAACATAAACTGATGAACAAAAATAGATACAGAGACATAGAAGCATCGAATAGCCCTGCAAACCTCAGAGGGAAGGCAGGGGAAGGTTGGGGGGGCGGTGGGTTAGAGATCAACCAAAGGACTTGTATGCATGCATATAAGCATAACCAATGGACACAGACAATAGAGGAGTGAGGGCATGTGCTAGGGAGAGGTTAGGGGTGGGGGTGGGTGGGGGGAAGACATATGTAACACTTTCAACAATAAAGAATTTAAATTAAAAAAAAAAAAGCAAAGACTACTTCCCCAATAGATCTGTCTCAGTGCCTGAGTGCAGAAGAGTTTGGATTGTGACAACCACCAGATAGATTTTATTTTTATATAAAATAATCTCAATTATAAGTATTGAGGCCATTTTTAAGACCATTAAAAAAAGGTATTCCATTTCTAACATGGCTTCTTATTAGATATCCTGATTTTCTGGATAGCTCTATGTTTTCATCGATCAGGTTATTTAAATAAAGCTACTTGTGAAAACACAAACCTGTGACACTGGCCATGATCCCCAAAGGATAATAGGAGTAATAAAGTGAGGCGTTGCTTATAAACGGGACTAGCTTTTTTAAGGTTCCATGGAGAATTGGTTGGTTAGTATCTGTTTTTGGAAATGAGAGAGACCCTTGGGTTAAAGCTCTAAAAGGCTGTCCTCCTTAGTCCATTTGTCAGC